CTACTTAGATTTAAACTTGTACATTGCAAATCAAGCTTACCTTGGATTCTTGTTGTTCAAGCTTAGTGCAATCTCGTTGACAGCATGTGGATGAGACATGACCATGTTGAAACCATACTGAAATTAAGGTGGAAAAAAAATAAGGTATTAGGAGTCAACCCAGAAGCTGTCAATGTTGATAAAAACAACCCCCTAATGTTTCTACCTAATGTAATTTCTTCCATCTTTAAATGCATTCATGACTCCAGTAATCAGTGTCTGAACATATTTCCAGAAAAAGGTTCAGGAATGATGTTACTATCAAGGGGCTCTATTTCCATATTTTATGAATAAACTATATGATCCTCTTTATTAAAAGGGTGAAAAACTCCAGCCCATTGATTCTCAATCCTGGCTGCTCATTAAAATCACGTAAGAGAGTAAACAAAACAAACAAAACAATGAATCTCAAGGACGGGACCCTGGCATCTGAATTTTTTTGACGCTCTCCGAAGGACTCCACCCCTCAGCCAGGATTAATAACCATTGCATCTACTCCCTTCTCTGTGCCATGGCGAACAGGACAAAAAGCCTAGGAAAACTTGAGTGCCGCAACCTTCTACAAAATGAAGCAAGTTCAATAACAGGCTCAAGAATCATTCTTGATTCTGCTGAGTTGAGGAATTATTCCTTTTCCTCTTAGCTCATGACTTTATTTCCAGTGACACCGAGAAAGTATTAGCAGGAAAAGCTTCCAAAAGCTTCCACCATCACATGAATCCTCCCCACATAGATCTTCGGATTACCTCCTCACTGCTTCCTCAAGATGAGTTCTCTCATGCTCCAATCTAAGGTCAAGTCCCCACCTGAGTCCTTTATTCCTGCTCAGGGGAATATACTCCAACAATTCCCCCACCCCCACCATTATTTTTCCCCTAATTCATTGCCATTAACATAAAAACATGATGCAAATGATCTTACCCTAAGTAACAACAACCAAATCTCTCTTGACCCTACACTGTCCAGCTACTGCCTCATGTCTCTGCTATCCTTTACAGCAAAACTCCAGCACTCAGACTCCCATTCATCTCTGTTCTCTCCTGAAACTCCTCCCATCAGGCAGTTCATCACCACCGCTCCAATGAAACGGTTCGTACCTACATCACCAATGGCCCACACTCTCACTCCTCATCTTACATGACAGCACAGCACTGGCCACAGCTGAGCACCCTACCTTAAACATTTCCTGCACTTGGATCTACCGCCCTGGCCACTTCTCAGTCTCTCTAGCTAGTTTTCCTCATCTTTCTGATATTTAAACAGAATGCTCCATGATTATCCGGGACCTCTTTGCTTCTCTGTGTATCTGTTTACCTCATCCATATACCATCTATTAACTGAAAAATTTGTCCCTCCAGCCGGAACTCTGCTTTGAACTTCAGATGGCATATCTAACCACCTAAAGGTCTCTATTTGGATGTCCAAGAAACCTCAAAGTTAACATCCTCCAAAAAGAACTCCTAATCATGAGTCTCAAATCTGCTCATCTTGCAGCCTTCCCCATCTTAGTAGATAGCACCTCCATCTAACAGGTGCCCAAGACAAACACCTTGGAGCCACCCTTCACTCCTCACCACATATGCAATATTATTGCCTTTACTAACAAAATCAAACCAGAATCTAGCCACCTCTCATCATCTCTGCTCCTATGATCTCGGTCCATACCACCATCAACACTTACTTAAATTAATGCAACAGCCTCCTACATGGTCTACCTGCTTTTGTCTCTGCCCCTCAAGGTTAATCCTAAACATAAAAACCAGAGTGATCATGTTAAATTCAAGTGTCAGATTAATTCACACTTTTCCTCAGAACCCTTTAATAGCTTTTCATTCATAGTGAAGCTAATGTCTTCCGACAGCCTTACAAAGGCCGACACAACCAGGGAGCCCTGTTAGCTTCAGATTTCATCGTCTACCTTTCCCTCTTACTCACTCTGACCCATCTAACCTGCCCTCCTTTCTGTACCTTGATCACATCAGACTTACTCCTGTCTCAGAGCCTTTGCCCTTGCTCTTCTCTCTGCCTGGAATCCAATTTCTATCATATCCCTTAGCCTGCTCCCTCGTGTAAGGTGTTACTAAATGTTATCCTGGTGACACTTTCCTGACTGGCCTATTTCTTTCTTTTCTTTTCTTTTCTTTTCTTTTCTCTTCTTCCTTTCTTTCTTTTATTTATTTAAATTAAT